TATTATTTATTTTAAAGAAATGCGTCTTATTAAAAAATAAAGATTAAAATAATCTGTCTCATCTCATGACCCACAAGTTTTGAACGTTCAAATAAACGAAGAATTTTCTATTAAAAAATAAATATTTCCATAAATTACAGTTTGCAATATTTTTTTATTTATTTAGTTACATACACGGGTATCAAATATAAATTAAAAACTTAAATTATTGCATTTAGACCCTAAAAAAAAATTAACCCCTAAAACGTAGGAATATAAGGTTCTGTCCTCTGGGTCACGAAAAAAATTTCTTTTTGTGTGCCTGTGTAATCAAATTATTATTTTTTTTTCTTTGTTAAACTTTTTCTGTCAATTATTGATATTTTTTTTTAACTTTTTCCGTAGTCCGTAACTTTCTTTAAATTTTGTAATCAACATTTTTATTACAACGCTACTTTTGTTTAAAGATTACATGAATTTAACGATACACGAGGCAAATTTCAGAAAAAAAAATTAGTAAAATTAACTTTGGATTTGGAAAATTTTTTTAAAAATTGTAAAATTTAATATTAAAAATGGTTATTTTCGGAATAATTTTTACTTTAACTGAATGAAAGAATACGGAGATTAATATAGTTAATTTCTCTACTCTCTAAATTTGAATTAGTAGTTTTCTACTAATGAAATAGTGCGGATTCGTTTACCAATTGAATTAGTAACTGTTTTTACTAATTTCTAGTAGTTTTTTTACTAATTATTAGTAGAAAATTTACTAATTTGAAATAGTAAAAAATTCGTGCTACTAATTGAATTAGTAATTTTCTACTAGCAATTAGTAAAAAACTACTAAAAATTAGTAAAAAAAGTTACTAATTCAAATTGGTAAACGAATCCGCACTAATTCAGATTTAGAGAGTAAAAAAAAACACTGCAAAAAAGATGTAAATTAGAAGTAACTTTGTAGTGAATTCTAAGAAACTTAATGTTTAATTAATTATAATTTTGATTTGTTTTAATGTTGTAAAGAAAAAATAGAAAAATTCTATAAAAGTTGTCGAGGGAACTTGCTATATTGGTGGTTATTATTATTATAATTATTAAACTATACAGTTCGTACAGACACGTTATGCGATATTTGAATGTACATAATAGTCGCGCACAGACACTAAGTATCGATTTTCACTATTATTAGCTCCGCCTCGACCCCTATTAGAATTGTAATGATGAATATTTTTTTTTCTATAGCCATCATTAATAAACGTTCTCTATACACAGCGAACTGTGTTTATAGTCTTTGCGACTCAATTGTCATTTTCAAATAGTCATTCGTCTTGTATTATAATTACTTTGGGGGAGGGATTGGAAAATAAAAAATAGAGAATGAGAGAAAGAGAAAGAGAAGTCAGTACATAAAATAATGAGTGACATATAATACCAAGGGGTAGTAACATGTACATATATATATATATACAGATGTACATGTGCAAACATACATCTTGCTGATATTTACCTGTGCGTGTTTACCCACAGGCAGTAAAATAGTACCTTCTCGTAGAGGAAGTACTCTGCTTGATGGATATTACTCTCGTGTTGTAATGAAACTGCAAGTACTTTGTCCAAACGTTCGCAAGACACAAGTCTTTTGTTTTTGTATAATGCTTTCTGGAAAAATACCCCAACTAATGAAGAATTTTTTTTTTTTTTTTTTGCATTTTGCTCTTTTTCTTAAACTTTATTCACTGGCAAAACTTAACTGTATGGCTGATTCTCAAAAAAGTTGTAATTTTTTTGTAAAAAATTTGATTTTTTTGAAAATTTCGTAAGTACATCTTTTTAATAAAGCTTGAAAAGAAAACAATTATTATTTTATTGATATTTGTGCTTAAATATCTTTTTTAATGTTATATAGACAATTTAAAAATTTTTACTTCAGAGAATAAATAATAAGTTTAAAAAATTAAGTTTTATTCATTAATAATATATTTATATTATTTAGTGTAACAAAACAAATAAATCGAATTTTCAGCAAACTTACTAACTGACAATTAAGTATTATTTCGAAATCAATTTTTAATGATACATGGTAGAAAAAATAAATTTTCAAATAAACATATAAACATTTTCTTAGAAAATAGCACAGCATTTTCAAAATCAATTTTGATTGATTTTTCAAATCAAGCCTAAATTCAAATGTTATAAAATGTGTCAACAAAAAAAATTATCTACTATTTGTTTTCTTATTCTTAATTAATTTAATTAATAAATAAAAACTTATTTTTACACCTGTTCTAAAATTTTTTGGAATAAAATTTTCCAGAAAAATTCAATTATTTAACAAAAAAATTTTTTTGATAAAATTCTACATAAACATTCAAATATTTTCATAATTAATAAAAATTTCCCTGGAATTCAATTATATTTACAAATTCTTTTTATAAACTTCGCAATACAAATTCTATTATTTTCATAAGTAATAAAAATTTTTACATAGGGATTCAATTATTTTTCATAAATAATAAAACTCATCGCTGAATTTCAATTATTTTTAATACAATTTTAATCAAATTCCTTGAAAAATGTAATAATTCTTAAAAATTTTATTAAAGAAAGAAAATTAAAATTAAAATCGAAAGAATTCAATTATTTAAAAATTTGTTGATAAAATGCTTTATGAGAATTCAATTTTGAGAAAAGTTTGATTATTCAAAAAATTATTTATTTTTGTATTTATATAATTAAATTCTCTTAGAATTTTCTAATAAAAATTGATTTAAAAATGAATTTCAGTTAAAATTTCAGATAATAATTGAATTTTGGAAAAGTTACTAATAATTTACAATTTTAGAAATAATTGAATTTTAAAGAGGTTTCAAATTAAAATCTCGAAAAATCTAAATTTTCCCATACTTTTAACTAATAATTCTGTAGAATTGATGTTTTTGAAAAAGTTTAATTGAATTTTTTTTTAAATTTTTATTTTCTAATGTATATTTAATTACCGAATTTCCGAATATTTGAAATGTCGTCCGTGACTTATTTTTAAATTTTTAATCAAAATTTTTATTACAGCGCTATATTTGTTTTAAAATTACATGAATTTTATGATATACGAAGTAAATTCCACAAAAAGGCCTAATAAAATTAAATTGTGACTTGAAAAAATTTCCTTCCAAAATTGTAAAATTTAATATTAAAAATTGTTATTTCCGGAATAACTTTTACAATTTTCAAAAACAATTTCTTAAATAAAAATAAGAAAAATTTATTTCAAAAATAGTAAAATTTACTCTAAAAAATAAGAATCTTTGATAGCGAATTGTAATGTTCGAGGGAAATTTGAATAATTTTTATAAAAAAATTGACATTGAAAGTGGTAAACTTTGTTATTAAAAATCGTAAAATCATAATAAAAGAAAAAATCGTACAATAAAAAAAAAATGGTATTCGTAAATCGTAATTCTTATTTCCTGAGCAAATTTTTTAATATCCGTAGTAAATTTTATGTAAAATTTGTACACTATACTTTTTTTTTAATAAAATTTATTCTGAAATTAATACAATTTGTCAAAAATTCCAAACAATTTTAATTTATGTAGAAGTAAAAGTTATTTTATATTTGTTACTTTTAATGAAAAAATTTCTAAATTTAAACACTGAGAAATAATGTAAAAAGTAATTTAAGTTTCAAAATACTAAAAATTGTTTAAAGCTTGCGAAAAATAACAATTTTTTTAGCTAACAAAATATGACAATTTTGACAAATTTTTCTTAAAAATAATGGGAAAAGCGAGGGGCTTTTCACTCATGAAATAACGTAAAATTCTGGTTCAGATGTTGTCATACTCTGTATCAACAAAACTACAATTTTATTATGTTAGATTTCGTCAGATTTCGTCAGAGTCCGTCAAAGTCTGAAATTAGGACAAGAATAATTTTTTTATGTATTTATAAAGATAATTGGTATTTTTACAAGAATTTTTTTTCAAATTTTTAACATTGTTGAATTTAATTTTTTTTTGAAATAATTGAATTTCTGCAATTATTTGTAATTTCTTTAAAATTGAATTTTTTTAGTGTTTTCAACGAGAATTTAAATTAGCAAATTTTTAAATTCTATTATTATTTTTAAAATTTCTAATTTTATTTTTAAAAAAAGGTAGTAACGAGTTAGCTGCGCGAATTGTTGACAGTTATTAATTTATTATAAGAATTGAAATGAAAGAAAATTAAATATCTTTTTGTATATTAATTGAAAAAATTTTTTCGTTTAGCTTTTAATTAAACAGAAAAAATAATTACTTAAAAGTTACCAGGAACATTGGCAAATTGTTTATACCAAGGGGGATAATTTTGTAATAGGAATTTCTCATATATAGTTTTAATCAAATTCTACGGCACAGATAAACTTTTAACTAGAGAATATATATATATATATATATATGTATACATTGTAGTAATCCTCTTTATAAATTCTATACAGTTTAAAATTACATAAACTGTGTTATATTGATAACATATCGAGCCACAAATTGAGAATAGCTTCTAACCATACAGCAAGTGTTAACACTGTAAATACCAAAGTTTCATCGAAATTAATTGCAATATTCACTGGCTTCACTAAAACCTAAACTTCCTTCATTGTATTAAATTCCGATTCCCTTAAGCAATCTCAATCTATTCGTAATTCTTACAAAATTCCAAGATTGATAAAAAATTATTGAATTCATATTTTCTTGTATTAATTATTTCTCTTTTTAATTAATAGATATTATTCTTTAATATTCTAAATTTAAAAAAAAAATACTTTTTAGAACACGTTGATAATAATCGATAAAATGGAATTTTTAATAAACTTTTTTATTTCTTGATAACCTTTAACGGTCAAACATTATTGGATTTTGAAAAAAAAAATTTTCATTTTATAACTTTAGATAAAAAAAACAATTTTTTAAATTTCAGATTATTCACTCACGAACGAATTATAATATTATTTACGCATTTATTCCTTGAAATAAATGGAAAATTTTTGGAAAAATATTGTCAGTCTAATAGAAACAGTTGTGAAGCTCCTAAAACATTTAACGAACTTATTGAAAACAAAATTACATTTCTAATTCCTTACTTTTAAAAAAAACTTTGTTTAAAATTCTATTTGTACAGTAATTACAAAAATTAATATCAACGTCCAAAATGAAAATTATAATTTCTCTCATTTTATTCGTTTTGTGTGTTATAATTAACAATTATCATTTTGCTTCCGCCATGGAATCTTACAAGTCACTTGAGTCAAGTTATGATACATTGGAAGAAGCTGAAGGTGAGATTTTTATCTACACCATAAGAAAAATATAATTTCGAATCAAAAATATCGTATTTAAAATATTAAACCCATTTTTTAGAAATTATACAATTAATTATAAAGATTGCATCATAAATGATATAATTATAATAAATAGTATATAACAATATTATTATAATATTATAATAAAGTAATTTAATCAGTATAAATAATTAGATTGTCCAAACATATCTTTCTTCTTAAATTAAGTAAATTTTTTTTCTCTGTAATATTATTGACAGTAAATTTAAAATCAAAATTTAAAAATCAAAATTTGAATAATTATAAATCAATTTAATTTACTTAGATGATATTTCAATTATTTCAGCCAACTGTATTAAAACAAAACTGAAGTCTAAAAGAATTCGATTCTGGTCTTCTGGTCGTCGTCAATATCACGTTTATAGATGTGCAACAGATTATGAAAAGAAGTTTTATTCAATAGATTTGGCAAGAGGTGAATTAAAAATTTTATTCAAAAAAATACTTTATATTATCAATTAATAGCAAATAGAATAAAATATTTAGATTAAAAATTAAAATATTTAATGCATATTAGAAATAATAACAGTAATATTTTATTTAAAATTTTAGAAGGATGTATTGAGCATCGTGATGGTCAATTTCACTGCAAAATAACAACACAGAATGAACTATTAGACAGATATAATTTAGTTAGATAATATTCTGAAAAATAATATATTAGTTTTCCTGACCTCAGGAACTCAAAAAATGATATTTTTTAAAATTGTCATTCTGTATTTTAGTTTATTATACACGGAAAAAAATTTTTACCTGGAACAGCGATATGTTTCTCTAAAATAGCGAAAATCTTAACTAAAACAACTAAAAATTGACATATTATATTTAATAAATGAATTTTAAATCACATTTCGTGTCAATTAATTACCATTCATTGAAAATTTTCTTTTCATTCTTGAAATTAAAAAAATAATAAACTAAAGATTATTAAAAAATTATAAATTCTATTATTTATAAAAAAATTGTTTAAAATTATATACAAAAAATTATTTTACCCTTCAGCTTATTTTAATTAATATAAATTAAAATATAAATGAAACAGTATTTAATTCATAATTTTACGTTATAATGTTCCTTTAAAATTAATATTAAAATTTTTTTCGATTTCTTCATAATTATGAAATTTGTTAAAAATATTCTAAAGTAAATTTTGCAATTAAAATTTTTTTCTTATTCTGCTTTAGAATGAAATAATTTGGTATTCCTCTATCATGAAATAATTACAGTACTTTCTGAAAAGTATGTTTTTTATTTATAGAAATTAAAAACACACATAAAAGTTAGCCAAGAAAATATTTCTTCAAACAGCATTAAAATTTATTACTTTTCTTATTTTTTAACTAAAAATAGTAGTAATACGTATATAAAAAAAATATTTAATTTATGATTTTATTTATATAAAAAATTTTTTTTCGAAAACTTTGACAATTATCGGTAAAATGAAACTTTTAATATAATTTTTTATTTCTTGATAACCTTCAACGGTCAAACATTATTGGATTTTTTTAAAAACATTTAAATAAAGTTGAAATATAATTTGATATAATACAATATCTTTGAAAGATACATTAGACAATTTCAAAAAAATTCGTGGCCTAAAATAAAAGTTTATGTGCAGAAAAAAAATAAAATTTTCATTTTATGATTTCTTTGATGGAAAGCAAATTTTTAAATATTAGATTATTTACTGTCGAAATATTTTTTTCGAATCAAAAATATTAAATTTTAATTCAGTTCATCTTTTTGGAAATTATAAAATTAATTATTGACATCATACATAATACATAAATTTTTAAAAATTTTCTGTCATTTAAATAAAATTTTTTGAAAATTTTCATTTCAATCTTGAAATTAACAAACTAATAAAGTAAATAAACTAAAGATTCTTGAAAAATTATATATTCAGTTATTTAAATAAAAAATTATAAAAAATTATTTAATCCTTCAGCATATTTTTATTAAAATTAATGAAAACAATAATAATAATTATTAAATTAAAGAAAGGAATAATAATTATTATTGCTATAATTATTATTACTATAATAATTATTAATATTATAATTTTTAAAGGGTATTAAAAAAGAAAATAAATTTAATAAACTATTTCAATAACACCTTGTTTCAAAATAAGATAAATGAACTAAATTATAAGTAAAGTAGACGTTTGGTGTTATAATAAGATCTGCTTCACTAGACTTTAGATCTTATCAATCTAAGAGGAAATTAACTTGGCTGACAATCAAGCTTTGTGATAATAAATTGCAGATACTAATTAGAGTGTCGGAAACTCATGAGCCAAAATGCTCGAATAATACTCGAAACAGAGAATTGTCTCGATTATACATTTCTCTTAAATTCAAAAATTTTCTAATAAAACTTTACAAAAGAGGAAAAGAAATTTTATGAAAATAATTTTAATATGCATAAATAATTATGCCTATTTTAAAATTATTTTCATAAAATTTCCATTTCATTTTCTATCTATACATCATTTTTCTATCAAAAGGAAAAATTGTCTAATTCAAGAAAATTTAATGTAAACAACTTTTTTTTTCAAATAAAAATATTTTATTAAAAAATTCTTTTACTTAAAAAAATACATGAAACAATTTTTTCTTTCAAACTTGTTTATATTTGTTTTCAACTTCTTTTTATTTATACCACTATAAAGATAAATATAAAAAAAATGTCTATTTTGAAAAATGCTCAGTAAGTGATAAGATAAATTATCATTATTTAATTTGTTTTTCTAAAAAAAAAGAATGTTAACTAAATATAAGGAATAAGACATTTTCCGCATTTTAGCCCTAGCGACTTTTGACCTTTAAAGAATGATGATAATTTTCTCTTACGTCAGCTAAGCTGGTTCAACGTTTCACACCGAGCTTTTAGAAGGGAAGCTAGAACGTTCATTTCAAATTAGAACTCATAATGAGTGCTCACTTAATTGCGCTAATTTCTTCTATAAAAAAAAATATTTTATTAATTGCCCTCGCCTAAAAACCAGATTTATGAAAATTAATTACTTTCCAATTAATTAACATCTAATTAACTAATATCTAAATTTTTTTTATCAAAAAAATGTAAAATAAAAAAAAAATATTACCAAAATAGATACGAAGAATTTAAAAAGAAAATTGTGTTTGAATTGAGTAAATTAAAAATAAGTATATACAAAACATTTCTATTATTGTTCCCCGCTTTTAAATTATTCAACCCGTAATATAATTCATTTTTAGAACATATAATGGAAACCTCGTAAGCACCTGGAGGCTGAAATAGGTCAAATTTCTTTTGTTTTTCACACATTTGCATTTTGAGAAAAAATTGAGAGCCTTCAGTACGAGTGCAGAAAAATTTAATAATAAGGTTCAACTTTTCTTCTACTATTCATTTTTTTTTGTTTTTCTTCTATAATAATATAAAGTAATAAAAAAAATTTCTAAAATAAATTCTACTTTTATTTTAATACCGGGCGTTATTAAATTGATGCAGTATGTATATATATATGTATACAAGAAATTTATTTGCTCGTTATTTTCTTGACTCGCGACTATCAATCATTCATCTAATTTGACATATTAGTCAGCACATGACAAGAGGCAAATTTCACGATTATATAGCGAAATTTTATTTATATATGTAAATGAAATCTATTACGATGTTTCGTGTCTTGATACTTGTTTTACAAAAAAATAAATTATCTACATTATTGTATCTGTTTATTAAAATTTGTTTACTCATCTTTGAATATTTATTTTCTGTATAATATAGAATAAAAAATAAATTTAGGAATATTCAGAGATGAAAATTGATTTGTTATTGGCATATTGATGGAAAGTAAAAAATATTTTTTTCAATGAAATTAAAGAAAAAAGTTTCTAATCTATATATATACAGTTGGGATTTGGAAGTGTCGAAGAAGTTGAAAACCTTTTGACATATAACTTTTTACTTGAAAGTTATTACTCTCAAAGCGTCAACTTATTATTTTATATATATATACGAAGATAGAAACTATATATAGTTTAAAAGTTGTCAGGTTAATGAACCAAGGATTTTTAGTTTTCCTCTGGGGGCAGGGAGATAGCAATGTTTCAAAATTTCCTAAAGTATTTTCTCGTTCAAGTTTTTTTTTCTTCTCTTTTCCTCGAGGTTTTACGTTCATTTTTGATTTTTATTAGACTTTTTTCTGTCGCAAAAATATTAACTAGAAAATCAAGCATTTTTATTCGAAATAAATTTTAATTAGAAATAAATTTTTACACATAATAAATAAATAGAAAACAATAAATATTTCCATAAATTACAGATTGCAATAAACATTAAAATAAACTTAAATTATTGCATTTAGAAACTTAAAAATTAATTTTTTTGGTTTAAAAAGTTCCCCTTAAAAATAGAGTAATTTATAAATTAAGTAATAATAATTAAATTATTAGTTTTTTTTTTGTTAAACTTTTTCTGTAAATTATTGATATTTTTTTAAACTTTTTCCGTAGTACGTAACTTTCTTTAAATTTTTAATCAAAATTTTTATCACAACGCTACTTTTGTTTAAAGATTACATGAATTTTACGATACACGTGGCAAATTTCAGAAAAAAATTAGTAAAATTAACTTGGGATTTGGAAAATTTTTTTACAATAATTGTAAAATTTAATATTAAAAATTTTTATTTCCAAAATAACTTCTACTATTTTAAAAGACAATTTTTTTTATAAAAATTTAAAAAAATTTATTTCAAAAATAGTAAAATTTACTCTAAAAATCAGAATATGTAATAGCTAATTATAATGTTCGAGAAAAATTTGAATAATTTTTTTAAAAAGATTAACATTGAAAATAGTAAATTTTGCTATTAAAAATCGTTATTTCGAGAGTAAATTTTATTGAAAGTTAGTAAAGTATACTTTTATTTTAGTAAAATTTATTTTGAAATTAATATGATTTGTCAAAAATTCCAAACAATCTGAATTTTTCTCAGAAGTAAAAGTTATTTTATATAATAATATGTTTTATATTTATGAAAAAATTTTCAAGTTTAATGATTGAGAAATAAAACAAAAAGATTTTTAAATTTCAAAATACAAAAAATTTTCCAAACTTTTCAAAAAGTAAAAATTTTTTTCTACAAGCATAACTGAACATTTTTCTAGTTTAAAAAAAAATGACAATTTTGACAAGATTTTCTTAAAAACAAGAGGAAAAAGGGAGAAAATTGATTATTTTACGTGTCTGTTATAAAATTTTTAATATAAAAAAAAATAAAAAATATTACAGCTTATTCTTATTTCCTTTTTAAATTTTTAAAAATTACAATTTCTGTTTTATGATTTTTTGTACATAGAAATTTTAACATTTGAGATTACTTGACATTATTCTCTCACACGAAGCAATTACTATATATAGTGAGCATTTTTTTCCTATTGAAAACCTTTAAAAAAATAGAAACGACAACAGTCAACAAAAGCTCTAGTTGAAATTATCATATAAATCCAACAGATTTTAATTGTGATCGAAAATTATTGCATTTTATTGACAATAAAAAAAAATTTCTTAAATTTTCTCACGTGAAAAAAGAGGAAACATTCCTTAAAATTTTTTTTAAATTTAAAATCAAAAAATTAATTTCAATATCGAACATGAAATGTATCATTTCCTTGATTTTATTCGTGTTGTGTGCTTTAATTAATAAACATCAATTTTCTTCTGCCATGGATAATAATTACAATTTATTGGAGACTAGTTATGAAACTAAAGCTGAAGCTGAAAGTAAGTGTTTATTTATTTAAATATTTACGAGTATATTCAGTATTCACTCACATTTTTTCCCTCTAAGCAACTGAAAAAATCTATTGGAATTTTTTAAAAACCAAAACTCAAAAAAAATTTAATTAATATTTTCTAGAAACATAAAAAAAAAATTATTGAATGTGCCTTGTTTTATAAAAATTACCATAATTACGAAAATAATTCTACGCTAAATATAATTTAAATATAGAAAATAATTTAAAACCTTAAGAAAACTATAAGTCAAATAAAGGTATTAAGATATTACAATTATTCTAGGTTTCTGCATAACAGGAAAACACCTGTCTGGATGGAAAACACCTGCCAAAGACTCAATTACCGATTATTATGTTTTTAATTGCAAAAACAACCCTAGCAAAAAATATTTTTCATTAATGGTGCCAGATGGTAATTAAAGATTTTATTAGAATAATATTATAAAATAATAAGTTATATCATTAATATGTTAGTTCGGTGTTTGATTGTTGGATATAATTCAAAAGAAATCAATATATACCTAAGTGAATAAATAAATAATTTTACTTTTTTTTTTGGAAATTCAGAAGCATGTGTTGAGTTAAAAAGTGATGGTCTATTCTACTGCAGCAATCGAGAATATCAATTAAATTCTCGCAGGATGATAAATTATCGCATCAAGAACACTTTCTTTTCATCTGAACGATTAGCTAAAGGTTTTTATTTATAAATACACGCAAATATTTTTGAATCAAAAAATTATTTTTGTTATTGTTTAAACTTTTTCTTAAATCTATACTTTGCAAATAATACATTCAATTTATTTATATGGATAATTAAAATAAAAATTAAATTTTTAATTTCCACAAATTTTTCAACTAATAAAAATTCTAAACATGAATTCTAGATTTTCGTCCAGAACATAAAAATGACAATTGAATTTTAATCAGCCATTATAATTATTATAATTAAAATTATTGATAGTAAATAAAATTAGCGAAATAAATTTTTCTATTTAAATCAAGTGAAATATTTTTATCAGTGAGAATTTATAATGAATCAAAAATTACAAAAATTAAAATAAGTTGATGACTTGTAATTGAATTTAGCATATGTATTAAAATAGAACAATTATTTCAGATGGATGCATCATAATAAAAAAAAAGTTGAAAAGAATTTCCCTTTTCACCTCTGAGAAATGGATAAAAAGTACTTATAAATGTATAACCGATCCCAACAAAAAATATTATAACTGGAAGGAGGCAGGAGGTAAATTTAACAATTTATTTAAAAAAAAATATATAAAAATAATGGCAATGATAATTTGGTGATAAACTGAATTTTTTATTTTTAAAATTTCAGATGCATGTGTTACGAAACATGGGGATGCATTCATCTGTAATCGATTTTCTTAAATGCACTATCCTTAAACGCATTATCAAATAATTAATTAAAATTAATTATTTAATAAATAAATAAATAAAGTAATTTTTAAAAATTTTTTATTTGTTGTTAATTATTTTATTTTATTATTTATTAAACAAATTATTATAAACTTGATTTTACAAATGTGTTAAAAAATGAAAATAAAAACACTAAAAAAAATTTTACTACGTGAACGAGCAATATTGGGAATATGTATAATTACTACATAGTTTGACAATCATAAACTTTTTTTCACACAGAAAAAAACAAACTAGCTCAGAGTTTTAAAATTCAAAATGGCGTATCCAATATGGCGGTTGAGCAATATTGATTTTTTGAGGTTAAAAAACACTTTATAATTACTAAATTGAAAATTAACAGCATGCAACAGATTTTAATTTTACTTTTTTTAAAAATTTTTAATCGAAATTTTTATTACAACGCCACTTTTGTTTTAGAATTATATATAAATTGTACGATACTCGAGGGAAATTTCAGAAAAAATTGTTATTTTCAGAAGAACTTCTACTATCTTCAAAGACAATTTTTTTTATAAAAATTACAAAAATTTATTTCAAAAATAGTAAAATTTACTCTAAAAATAAAAAACTTTAACTGCTAATTGTAATATTAGAGAAAAATTTGAATAATTTTTATAAAAAAATAGAAAAATAGAATTTAAAAATTTGTAATTCTTTTTGTTGAAAACACTAAAAAAAATCCAATTTTGGAAAAATTACAAATAATAATTGCAGAAATTCAATTATTTTCAAGAGTGATAAAATTCTTCTCATAAAATTTTTAAAAAATTCTCGTCAAAATCCCAATTATCTTTATAAATAACAAAATTCTTCCCCAAAGTTCAATTATTATTTTCACATCAATTTCAAATTTCCAAAAAAAGTTCTACGCAAACATTTAATTATTTTCATAAATAATACTTTCCCAGTAATTCATTTATTTATAAATTTTTTATAAATCCCTTAGCAATTATTCAATTATTTTTATAAATAATAAAATTTTTCAATTACTTTCATAAAAAATAATTAAAAATTGTAGAAAATAATAATTGATCTGATAATATGAAAATAATTTTGAAAAAGTTACTGTAATAATATTCTTATAATATAAAACAATAATGGTTTTATCACTCGGTCATCTTTAATTATTATAAAACATGAAGAAATCGATCACTCCGAGTCTTCGATTTGGAACAATCGCTATCTTCATATTTTATAAAATTATTCATATAATCAAATAATTAATTAAAATCAATTATTTAATAAATAAATTTTTTTTATTTTTTTATATATTATTAATTATTTTGCTTTATTATTTATTAGAAAACTATTATAAATTTGATATTATAAACGTATTAGAAAATGAAAATAAATAAAATAAAAAAATACACGAAAAATTTAAAAAATTATAATTACTATTTAAATTACTCTGTGCGAAACCTTTCGAAATTCTTAAAAGGCAATTTTTATTCACCTTTAAAAATAAATTAAAGTTTAAAAAAAAAAAAAAAATTCATATGAGCAAGAAAATTTAATAAAAAATGTCAAAATAGAATAATATTAGAATTTAAATATAGTTTTATATTTGTTAGAAAAAAAAGTAGGGAACGGTAACAGCATGCAAACAATATTGATTTGTAACTTTGAATTGGTTATGATTGAAATCACAATATGAAAACAATTCCTGGCATGTAAAAATACGAAAATATGACATGTTATAAAATCTGCCGCCAGTAAAAAGTGCATGAAACGAATTTTCCCATGTTCGAAACTACTTTTTCCGTAGGAAATCAATTTTTCTGATGATTCTCATATTTTTCTGGAAAAGTAACGTTCAAAAATATCACCGGAAATAAAAATTGCCTATTAAAAGGAAAAAAAAAAGAAAGCCACTACTCACTTTAACCCAAAATAAAGAAAAAGCCAATATTCTTCTATATATATATTTATTTTAGAATTTATAATATATCGAAATAAATATATTTATTTAAATCAAATAATTTTTATTTTTTTTTTATTTTGTCAGATTAAAGAAATCGGTTGCACATTCTTCAATTTTTTTTACTCACGAAAAATTTTTTAATAAATATAAATGACAAGAATAATATAATTTAAAAAATTATTCCTTAAAATAGTTTTTAATTTTGTTTCTCTTTTTTAAAAAAAAGCAAATGTAGGTTGAATTATAAAATTTTTTGTTCCATTCGTAAATGAAAATAATGTACATATTTTAAAGTCTTGAGAGGATTAATTTTGTTTTTGAAGTAAATTTTTTTTTTTTTTTTTAAATTATGGGTGACTTCAATTTTATCAAATAAAGCGCTACTTGGATGAAGGAGAGAAAAATAGAGAGAGGGAGGGGGGAGGAAAAAGAGAAAAAAGCAAAGTAAGCGGTTAAGTAAAAAACATTTTTCCATTTGATTTGTATTTCTTTATCTCCCTTTTCTAGCACTGGCCTAGAAAATTATTCAACGCAGTGCCTCTTCACGAGCGGAGAGAGAAAAGTGGAAAAGAATAAAGCTGGCATCATTAATTTCTCCCTGGAGCGACCAACCGTCAGCATGAGCGCGTGCTTTTGTGTAATATGCGTACACATATTCACAAACAAATATATACATTTATATTGTATATTTTTGTGTACGTGTATATAACCTCGAGTAAAAAATTGTTGCGTTACTATGTGTGAGATGTGACTCGAGTACATATATGAGGCTCATTCCCCGTAAATGCAAAAAAAAAAAAAAAAAATGGTCTTCTAAACTGCTCGTAATTCACGAACTTGAATGGTAATGTTTCAGAGGAGGGTTTTTTTTTTTTGACTAAAATTTTTGTAATTACGTTTCCACTTCATGAATTCTTTTGAAATTATAAACAAAATGCCTTTAATGAAAATTAGAGAAAAATATTAATATTGTTAATAATAACTATTTTGATACTTTTGTTATTTTATTTTATTATTTATTGTTAACTTAATTATTAATTGATTTATTTATTATTTTATTTATTTATTATTAATTACTAAAAAGAAAAAGCAATTAACTATAATAATCTTCGTATTTCATTCTTTCATTCATTATGTCTGTCCACACTTTAAAGTTAATTTTTGTGTATCCTACTTTTGTTTTTTTTTTCTTTAGAAAATATTGTATGACAAATTGAAAATATGCAGGTATTTTTTATGATTATAATAAAATAATATTTGCATTGAGGCTTTGAATCTTAAAAGGATCAATTGCAAATTTTAATTGAAAATGAAATGAAAAATTTTTAAATTTTTAGAAAATAAAGAAAAAAATATTACTTAAAAAAAAATGTTCTGTTACATTTATTTACGAATTTTTTTAAATGTAAAATTATTCGCAAAACATCAATAACTTCTTTTTAAAATAAATATTTAATTATTATTATTTTTCCACAAGAATTAAGATTTTCAAAAATTTTTAAATTCAAACCTTTTTGAAATTAAATGACTTATAAAATTATTATTTATCATTATTTTATATTAAGAATATTGTTGCTGTAACTTCTTAAAAATTATTTTCATCATTTCAATTCAATTATTATTTTCCAGAATTTTTAACTAAAATTCTTCTCTAAATCAATTATTTTTAATAATTTTTGAAAAAGTTCTTCGAGAATTTTCAAATACATTTGTTTAAAATTCAATTTTACGAAATTTCGATTTTTCAGAAATTCTTCAATTAAATATATATTAGAAAATAAAAACTTCAAATTATTTAAAAAAAAAAATAAATAAAACTGTTTCAAAAAATTAATTGTTCAGAATTGCCAGTTAAAAGTATAGAAAATTCAAATTTTCAAATATTTTAATTTGAAACCTTTACAAAATTATTCAATTATTTAAATATAAAAGTAAATAATTTATTGAATGACTAAATGTTTTTTTAAAATGTAATTTTTATAAAGAATTTAGCAACAAATTTTCAATTAATCGAATTCTTTTGACGAATTTAAATCAAATTTTTAAAAATAATTACATTTGTCGAGGAATTCGCTTAAAATTGTACTAAAAATAATTAAAATTCTTCGATGAGCTTTATTATTTATAAAAATAATTAAATTAATAAAAAAAATTTATGAACTTAATTATATAATTGCGAAGAAATTTATAAAAAATTTGTTAATAATTGAATTACTGTGCAATTTTTATTATTTATGAAAATAATTAAATGTTATAATTATAATAAAATCTTATTATAATTGGTTTTACATAATTGAATTTTTTTCGGAAATTTATTAAAATAGTAGATATTGAAAATCATTGAAATGAGAAAAATTTTAGAAAATATAATTGAATTTTTGCGAAGAATTTTATTACTTTTGAAAATAATTGATTTTCTGCAATCATTTGTAACTTCTCCAAGATTCAATTTTTTAAAATTCTTTTAACTAAAATTTTTCTATAAATCCTTTGTTTTTAATAATTAATTAAATATTCATTGACAAATTTAACTAATTTCAAAAAGAATTTGAATTATTAACATTTTGCAAAAATCTAAGTTTTTTAAAATTTCTAATTAAATTCATTAAAAATCTTAGTTTTTTTTATAATTAAATTCATTAAAAATTGAAATTTCATAAAATTTCAAATTAAAACCTTTTGAAGTTGATCTATTTATGAAAATTGTAAATGGAACTCTTTTAAAATTGAATTAATTTTGAAATATTTAAGTAAAATTTTCATTAAATAATTTTTAAGTAAGAATTTTATGATAGTTCAAGAATTAAGTTATTTAAAAAAAAATTATTGTCAGAAATAGAAAAAAATTGAAGGTTTTGTATTAGAATTCGTGGTGATTTCATAGCGAAAAAGACAAAATGTCCAATTTTTCCTTGTATCCCCAGTCTCAAAATATATGATTATTGTGGTTATATAAGTAATAATCTATATTCCATTTTATATTTTGTTAAAAAAATATTTGAATTAAAAATTTTTAAATTCTATTTTTTTTAAATTGCTAATTTTATTTAAAAATTTAATATTTGTTCTAAAAATAATTTCTTGTCTATTGCATATTATCAGAAATGAGTATA